GGGTGGGGTGGGTGGGTGTGGGTGTGGGTGTGGGTGTGGGTGGGTGTGCGTGGGCGTGTGGGTGTGGGTGGGTGTAGGTGTGGGGTGTGGGTGTGGGTGTGGGTGTGGGTGTGGGGTGTGGGTGTGGATGTGGGTGTGGGTGGGGGTGTGGGTGGGGGTGTGTGGGTGTAGGTGTGGGTGTGGGTGTGGGTGTGAGTGCCAGTGCGCGTGGGTGAGTTTGCCCCATAATAAAGCAGTCCCACACACACCCCACACACCCACACCCCACACACCCACACTCACACCCACCCACACCCACACCCGCACCCACACCCACACTCACACCCACACCCACACCCTCAAAAAGAGCACCAGGGTTTCTGAGAATACGGTTGAGGGTTTCCGGACCTATATTTCGAAAACTCATAGGTTCCCGGATAGTCGGAAACCTTGAAGGTATTTTCAGAAACTTAACATGAGTCCGGAAACCTTCCCGGATACGTTCAAGGGTTTCGGAAACGGTTTCTGAAGGGGTTTCGGTTTCTGAAAAAACTTTTTTTTTTAGAGTGTATTGGCTGCTCGACGTTTCTTTGATTTATTCGACCGAATGCCATTGATTGACAGTAATTTGACCGAAGGCCGAAAATTGGTAAACGAGTCTAGAAATCAGATGTTCGCTCTCAACTATGTATTCTTGTCAAAAAATTCACGTTTTGTATGGGATGACTTTCGAGGCGAGATTGACTTTGATCAAGTCAAATTTGTCAATCCTACTAGACCAACATCACTTGTTCTGAACAATTTTCAATTGAGTGTCAAGCCTGGTAAGTAAGACATGTGTATTAACGTGATCTGTTTTTTAAATTTTCATTATCTGTGAGGTCAACGCATAGCTCTTCTTGGTAAGTCTCAATGAATTATATTTCTTATTGGAAGATGATGCAATGAAATTCATGTAGGTGCGTCGGGTTGTGAAAAAACAACCGTCATTCAGCTATTGGAGCGATTCTATGATGTTACATATGGTCAGGTGGTAAGTAATTATACTATTGCTGTCAGATAAAAATGATGATGCAAACTTATCAAGCGTCTTGATGGTGTTGATAGTCGACAACTAAACATTCAATGGGTTCGCTCTAGCCTCGGTCTTGTCAGTCAAGAACCAGTCTTGTTTGATTTGACAATTGCCGAGAATATCGCATATGGAACGGAGAATGTTAAATTGATAACATAATTGATGCAGCAAAGAAAGCCAATATTCATCACTTCATTCAACAGCTGCCTCAAGTCAGTTTAAAGGTAATATTTGATATCTGTTACCATTGTATAATATTAGGGCTATGAAACTAAAGTCGGAATGAAAGGTGGTCAATTGTCGGGCGGTGAAAAGCAACGTATCGCTATTGCCCGTGCTATTCTTCGTCAACCTAAGATATTACTTCTGGACGAGGCGACAAGTGCCATGGGCTCATCCAATGAACAAGTCTTTGTTTCTTTGTGAAAAATATCTCGTTGTTTATAGATTGTATTACAAGCACTCAAGCAAGCTCAAACAGAAGATCCTAGTCGCACATCACTAAATATTGCTCATCGTCTATCTACGGTTGTCTCTTGAGATTTGATTTGTGTTCTTCAAGAAGGACATATCGTCGAGAGTGGTACTCACACAGAACTAATGCAACGACATGGAACTTATTATCACATGCATGCTCAGAACATTTCATAGTCATTCGAATATTTTAATCAAAGAAAATATATTTCTAAAAGGATATTAATCATTTTTGCACGTACTCAATAATATCTATGATAACATAGCCAACCTTTAGTTATGCTCACGAACACTTCTTTTGAAAGTCTGTCGATGCACTTTCACAATGTACAACACTACAGAATCTGACATACACACTAATATTCACAATTGACTAGAATGTGGGTGTGACTCAAGAGAAGATCCCCATACCCACACCCTCCAGTCTCCATGTTAGCTTTTATACCAAAACACTCTGAGCTAGTCTAGTATTCCTCAGGCATACTCAACAAATACGATTTTTTCTTATATCTTGATATACATAAACTATTATCAATAGGAGAAAAAAAGTGGAATGAAAGGAGTGCAACGAAAGTTTTTGAGAACTAAAAAAGTGCATATACAATTTTTTTAAAGTAGAAAGCGCTGAGCTAACTTTTTTCATTTTACGGTCTTTTTTTATGTAAACGATACGATTTGGTCTGGAAAAGCTGAACACTTTCTAAAGAGGAGGAGGATGTGTACTCCCTCCTAACGTTACATACCTACATAAAACAAGCATTCAAAAAAGAAACAATACGTTTTTATGTGTGAACATGCCAACTTTTCAACCTATTCTTGATCAAGTCGTGATGAAAAGAAAAACAAGAATGCAGTATGAGATACGAATATGAAAATGAGTATTTGACTAATAGGATATTCTCAGTTTTCCAGTATTTCATGTGATTGTTTTGCGAATAAATATAGAATATCTGTATATTTGGAGTTTTTATTTGTGTTGTTTCAAGGGTATGGACTGAAGAAAGGTCTCACTCACACACATGTATCTGTTTTACTCTTTTACTTATCCTTGGTTACATTATATGATCATTCTCATTGTTATTTTTTGTTCTTTTGTCGTTTTCTTCTCATTCTGTATGTCATCAACATTCTATTTGTCTTTCTTTGTGCAGATCTTATTGTGTATGTGAATATCTATTTTCGATGCTTTTGAGTTTAATTCATCAATAGAAAATTAAATGATAAGTTTTCAATGAAGATACTGTTTCGAGGAGGAACAACTTTGATACCAACAAGTGTACTCGAAATACATATTTATTTATTTTTGAATTCTTTTAGCGTTTATTCTAAATAAAATAATTATGTCTAAAGAAAGTGTAAGAACTTTGTTCTAACTCAATATTTACAATTAGGAGTATCAAAACTATTAATTCACGTATTGATTCAAAAGAAAATGTATTTTCATCATCGATGACGATATAAAAGTGTTTGATCAATAGAAATTTTCATTTGACTATTTCTAATAGTTATTGAAAAAGTGAAGGTGATTTATGATTTTACTTTCACTATTCGTTAGGAATCGTGCACGTTGAATCACGTGTACCTTTTCTACGCATTTTTCAATATACCAAGTAACTTTCATCTGTACTCACTCTTGTTTTCGAACTCTTATCACTATATAAAGGAAAAAGAGAAAAAAATGAACTTAAAGCATCGTAATATTGATTGGATATATTATAAGTGACGTGATAGAATTGAAAGAATTATAAAAAAGGGTCTATCAAGAGATTATATACGTTTACTGATGAATGTCTCTTTGTCTCTCTCTTTTTTACGAAGAAAATAAATAATATCAACAATATATAAGGATGCATTTAATTCTTTTTTCAACATTTTTATTCATGTATATGTACTAATATTCAATATGAATACTAAAATTCTTATTACTTTCGTGTTATTATTAGGTTCTTATTCTCTATTGAATTGTACGTTTTGAATAATACTAATCTCTTTTTCTACATAGTTGTCATTGGAAGCAGTGCTAGACAATGTTACAAATGTATCGCATGTCCTAGACCATTCAAAGGAAATGAAGCAGGTGTCAGCAAAGTCAACGTTGGAGACAATGATTACTGTCAAGTAAATATATATATTTAAATTTTACATGCTTTTTCGTCAACAGTTTAATTTTGATATAATTCTTTTTTAGAAAATGATTGTGTTAGGTGTTGAAAATCGAGACAGTGGTGGTAATGATTGTACCCCTGTAGATAAAGTGAAATATTGCTGTCAAGGCGATTTATGTAATGGAGCAGTAACAGCCACATTGACTATCAAATTTTTGGCAGCAGTGACTAGCCTGTTATTTGCTATACAATACTTTCAATGAATGAACTTCAATTGATACTTGGTTTGTATTTTCGTTGAATATTATTTGTGCTTTTTTTCTTGTATAAAAACGTTTTTACAACTACAACTAATATATAAAAAATAAATCCAGCGAATTAATTCTATTGTATCTATTTCAACTGGAACACTAGCATAAAATTGCTTTAAGATTTCCGTACAAACTATGGTATAAGATCGTCAAATAGTGTAAAAGGATTATAAATTAAACAACTTCGCTGAAAATTTTCATTGATGTCCGTATGAAAAAATAAAAAATGATTCTACGATTCAAAATTGAAAAGAGGCAAAGCAGTAGTAAAATAAAAATGTCATTCATGGAAATTGTATGATTTGTGTTCATAAGTCATTATTTATTTCACATAAATTTTATACGATTTAATTCAATTTTAATAATTGAGTACTAAACATCTTACTAGATATAATGAATATGAAATGAAGCTTATTTAGTATATTTTGTCTCCATTATGAATAATTCACTGAATGTCGATTGATTCAGTTTATAGGTCTCTTAAAATTTAAAACAATCCACGATGAGTCTTCAAAACCAATTTATATGATCAATACAATAAAGTGCTCGTATCAATATATTGGATAGTTCGGAAGAAACTCATAGTTTTTGATTCGAATTGACATATATATAATCTGCATGATTTTGTTTGGTTTTTCATACCAAAAGATTCACTATGTAGGTATCCACAAAAACTGTATTAACTATTTTATTACAAAATATGCAAATGAAAGCTTACGAAAAACATTCTTGTTCTCAACAGATACCATAAGACACCGTTGAAGGTCAGTCAGTGTTGCTCAATTACCTTGAATTTAGCGTCAAGCTCTACAGGATTTAATGGACTTAGCGTGCTATTTCAAAATAATTAATACATTCGAGTAACGTCATTTTCATTCATCTGTCTATATATATATATCGGAGTTGTCTTCAAAATGCAACTAGTTGATTTTAAAATTGATTTCAAGGCAACTAAACTTTAAAGTCAACTCCAACATATATATATATATATCTTTAACCTCTTGGATACCGGGGATTTCTTGCGTTCTCTACAATTATATGGAAAAACCACTCTCTCTTGCGCTCGATCGTCTTGTATCAGCTGTATTCATGCATATTTTGTCGTACATATAACATGGATCGATATAGCTATGCCAATGAACATTTCGTTTCACAGCTGTTTATCGACACGACAGAACGAAAAAAATAAATTCTTTCGTTCTGCATGTCTTCAATTGAAGACAAGCAGTATCCAAGAGGTTAATTGTTCTGTTCAATCGAGCTATGAAAACTATATTTACTTGAAAGAATCATTGAAATCTGTTTTAACTATTACGTTAATCATGTTGTTAATTTCATTTTTAATTCGTCTAGTCTTTTTAAGACTAAGGACCACTGTATATATGATCGTAAATCTGCCATCTCCTTAGGTTTTAGTTTCAATAGATTAGAAAACTATAAAATGAAATTATGCATATTTCTTTGAATTTATCTTTCGTTTTATTGAATGTCTAAAATAATTTCCTTTTGCAAACTCACTATGAAAACTAATGGTATAGATCAAAGTAGTTTTTGATGTTCTAAAAATTGAGATAGTGATCATATTTATCATTGATCTCTGTCCCAGATTATGTAGAATTATAAAAATGCGATAGAATCCATTTTCATGTTATATAGACAAATTTTCATACGTTTTTTAGTGTTCTATTCGATTTAAATATCAAATTAATATTACAGATCACAATATATACTTCAGCAAAAATAATATGTCATCGAAAAAATTCATGTAGTCACTCTCATGAACTTTTTTCTCAAGTTTTGCCCTGCTTAAATGTATGTGACATCACGTTTTTTTTTGTACTAACTCCGAATATGGTATTCATTTTGCTCTGAAGTTGAAGTTAGATCAAGATTCAATAGGAAAATGATCGACATCAACTGTTACAGTACTCCCAAAATGATTAATTTTTTTACAATGTTTCTATAAGAATGAGTTTTCAGATAAAAAAGTTTTTTCTTAAAACTATATAGATCTGTAAAATAGAGTACTGCAACCCGCGAGTCGGGTACCCGAACTCAACGCGGGTATCGGGTACGAAATGGACGGGTACGGGTAGGGTAGGGTACGAGCAGGGTAGAGTACGGGTATGAGTGACACAGCGATGAAAATTTGTACTCATACAATACTCTATAGAAAACCTAATGTTTTTGGAGAAACAAGTTTCTTTATTAGCAGGGCAATTCTTAAAAAATTGAAAATGCTTTTTTTTGCTGCTATATGATAGTGACATCTTTAATCACATCGTTGATTAGTGGTCCGATGAATTTATTCATGACATCATTTTTATATATGATCCGAAAAAAAATGGTGATGCTCAACTTCAACATTATTTTATTTAATTACGATACTGTATAAGTTTTTTTAGATTTTTAAAAATATTTACCATGTCTAACAGTGATAAAGATTCAATTAGAAAACGATTAGACAGTGGTGAATATAAATCGTGTGATAAGTCAACAACTGCTAGTGCCGAGTGGTGGAAATCATTCAATCGCATTCAAGATGAAAAAGAAAATATCATTCCTTATGTTATATGTATACATTGTAAATCAGTTCTTGCTTATGATTCACAGAAAACTAGTTCAAAAACACTGAAACTTCATTTCGAGAATTGCAAAAGTAAACTTACTATTACTACACCAAAAATTACAGCACATTTTACAAGTGAAAAATATAATCACGTAGCATCGAAACATATAAAGAAAGTATTAAATGAATGCGTTAAGTTTTGTGCTTACGGCATGAGATCGTTTAACTCGGTTAATGGACATGGTCTCGAATTTTTAGTGCAGGATCTTCTCCACGTTGCTTATTCAACTGATGTTAAGATTAAAGGGTCAGATATTATACCTCATTCAACAACTATATCTCGTCGTGTACAATCTATGGCTTGTGGTAAATAAAGTAATAATTCATAAAGATATAATTTACTTTGTTTTTCATAGATGAACGACGTAAATTAATTATTACATTAAAAAATGATATCGGACAGGTGAAGTTGTTTGGAATCACCTGTGATTACTGAAAAAACACTTATACGTCGGAAATTTTGTTGACTATTAGCATACATTATGGAAAAAATTATAAAATAAAAACATGTGCGTTAAAAACTATGCTTTTTTCTGTATCAAAAACCGGTGGTAAGTTCATCAATGGAAAAAGTTTCTTGCAAAGATGTTTCGGATCATAAAACGATAACGTTTTGTCCTAGAATATCAGAACTCAAAATCTTTTTTGTACCTCAATAAATCGGTATCGGTCATTCAACATTTCAATTACTTTTTGTTATTCTAGAAAATACATGGAAAGCAATATGTAATACGCTAGAATCGTATGACCTTCATCCAGATGGTTCACATATAATCTTTGTTACCGACAATGTATCAAAATTTAATTAATGCACTTAAATCTGAAGCTCATATTAGATGTGTGTGTCATTGCATTAATTTGGCTATTCAACAAGCAATTGAAAACTGCTATATTGTTAATCTCATGGTCAAACAGTCTCGTGAGTTAGTGTCGCACTTTAAACGTTGCGAGCTACGACAAATTTTACGAACAACATTAAAACATGATTGTGTTACCAAATGGAATTCGATATTCGAAATGCTCAACTCAATATTGCTAAATTGTACAGAAATTGAACTTACATTGGACGATCGTAAAGAAATATTTTATCTTAATAATATCAATCGAACACTTTTAAGTAATATATGTAGAATTCTATTGATCTTCAAGGTTGGTAGTGAAATATTATCTGCCGATGATTCCCCAACTCTGCATCTCGTTGTACCCTTTTTTTAAAAATTTCGTAAATGTTGTGAAGTACGACCCGGTGATACAGCTGAAATAACAGACTTTAAAAATATTTTGTTAAATAAGCTTGATGATAAAATTTGGTTATCGGAATTTCACTACATAGCCACTTTTCTTTGTCCAGAAACCAAAAGTTTAACTGTACGTATTAATCGTTATAAATATAACTGAAAAACTTTTTTTTTGTCTTTTTTAAGTCCTTAAACAAATCTGAATGAGATTCTGTTTTAAGAAGTGTTCGTTCAATGTTGAAAACATTGAACATTGATGAAGACGTCAACAATGTGGCTTCTAGTACAACAACTGCATCATTTCCAGATGAAAAAAGAAACAAAAGATTTAGAACTGATGACTTAACTGTGAACGATGTATTGAGATCATAGTGTGGAAAAGACGATGATGCATCTGATGATGAATACGCAGATCAATATGATGAAATAAATGATTATATGAAAAAGAAATTCGTTATTTCAACAGATACTGATATTTTGAAATTGTGGGGAAATTATTTGGTTGTTTATAAAAAATTATCTCGCTTATCTATAGCTTTATTATCAATTCCAGCTAGTTCAGCAACAAGCGAGAGAATCTTTAGCGAGACCGGACGAATCCTCGAGGCTCGACAACAACTATTAAGACCAGACTCACTTGATGCTCTTGTATTTCTTCGTAACTGTGTGTGACTGTCATCTAGATGCTGTTATTTCATTATTATTTGATCAAAATAAATCAAATCTGAAACTTATATTCTCTATTGCGCTTACACCTACAGTTATAATAGTCTCTATTTCAGCTATTTGGGGTGCCAACCGGGATAGAAGAAGCTTCTAGGAAATTGAAACCTACGGGTTGGGTACGGTACAGGTATAGTTGGTTACGGGTAGGGTAGGGTACGGGTAAAAATTTGACGGGTATGGGATAAAAAATAAGGTGTCGGGTAGGGTGCGGGTACGAAAAGTTATACCCGTGCAGTGCTCTACTGCAAAATGAATGAAATTTTGTCTATGTGATATGAGAATTGTATCTACTACATATTTATGATCCTACATAGTATGAGACAGAAATTAATGGTAACTATGATCACTATGGCAATTGATAGAGCATGACAAACTACGTCAATTGACGCTATTAGTTTTCATATTGATTTTTCAAAAGAAAAAAGTCATGGTTATCATAGTTATTATCGAAAAACATCCAAGACTAATAGACTCCCTAAGACTATTCAAACCTTAACAATTGTTTTTAGGCATTCAGCAGAACAGAAATTAAATACACCAACATACGCAGAATTTCATGTTACATATTTCTAACCCATTGAAAGTACAACCTCATGGGATGACAGATTTGCGATCTTATCCGACAGTGTTTTTTCTAATAATTCACTGTTCATGAATTACTAATTAAGGGATAAATGACATCAGAATAATGAAACTGTACTGAGGTGGATTTATAAATGTTAGATTTTAAATAAGATATGTTTAGCAATACAGAATAAGAGTTCTATTAATAGTTTTGATGATTCAGAATATTTTTTCTTATGTTTTTTCTCATTTAATGGGTACGAGCGCCACATTAGATTCATGAAAAGATGCAAAAAATCTCGAAACGTCAAAGTACAGAATATGTCGATAGAATCTGTTTTGAGTACGAAGTATGCTGCCTTGACGTCAAGAAAAAAAATTTAAATAGAAAAAATATTTTCAATCTTTGCACGAAATAATGGAAATTCAAGAATCATTCATGTTTTTTTCTTGTAACTACGTCAAATGTCAGTATTGTCTAAAGACGCTATAAATGGTTTATTGCTTATTCATATTTGTACAGTATACTAGTTTTTAGTTCCGTTGTTTTTCTGTTTTTCTGCATATCGTAATGTACTGCCACGATAAATACTGATCTTTTTTTCTCCCTGTTCTGTATAATATGTAATCTATGAGAAGGAAGCAAAGCTACCATGTCGTTTTTTTCTTTTCCTTTTTTTCCTTCTCGTTATTATTAATTTTATCTGTGTTCTATTGCGTTTATTCTAGAGATTAAACTGCGTATCATCGACATGCAATACGAACAAGCAAGTGAAAAAGTGATTATGATGAATACTCCTTATATAACTATATCCAGACCATTGTCACTGACTGAAGATCCTGAAGTACAACGAACTCGCAAAGTTTTTCTAATTATACTTGGCGTTTGTCTTGTGAGTTTTTATTTTTCTTTGATTATGATTGGATAATAATCACCGAAAACATTGCTTGTTGTTTTTTTACATAATATCTATACCAATTACATTATGCGTATTATATAAACAAAAATAGTATCATTTTTACAGTATCATGTAAATGAACTAATCAGATATACATATAGAATTTTCTCATATTTTGAGATGGTTTTTCTTTAAATATTCAAAAAACAAACAAATTCAAGCGTTTTCATACAAATTTTTAAAAATGAATTATTATTTGCTCGAATTTTAAAAGGAAAATGTTAAAAGTAACTATTCATAAATAAAAACGTATTTATCATTTTGTTTGAATAAATGAAAATAAAATAGTTATAGAAACTAGCAATATTATAGGAACTTACATCAGTCTCTTTTTACGCTTCATCGAACTGATGCCTAACACCATATGAAATAATACAAGAAATTTGTTCGAATTAATGCAACGTCACTTCCATCTACTGAGTTAAATATGAAAATGAACTCGTTTTATTCTAATATAAATATAATTTGATTAAATCAAATCATTTCATAGTTTAACTAAATCTAGAAAATTTTTTTGTCGAACAATATTCATAATCTTATAGAACTTTTCAACATTGATCCATAGAAATTCGAAGGATTTCTTTTTAACTCATATTATATATTGAATCTTTTAGGCTCTTTGTATAGTCGGTACGATTAGTGAGATTTCTGAAAGCGGAATCACGAAAGGTATACAAGAAACTCGACGTGGTGCAGTAATTGGCGAAGGTCTTCTTTCAATTCTTTTCTACAGTTTCGGAATATTCGTTGCTTATCGATATTATGAAACAGGTTTACGAGTGGTATGTGCTATCTTTTGTTTTTATTTTGACTTCATAAATAGATTTCATTTGATTTTAGTAACATTTTAAAACATCATTTTTGTCGACTTAACTTTATTAATTAATGAGTCACATATTTTGTAATAATATATGTTATTTTTTTATAAATATATCGAATAAGAATCTTTTAAAAGACATGTCCATTCAAAATATCACTTTTGAATTAGGTTCTTTTTCATTCGAAAATCGAAACTAAATAGATGGAAGTATTTTGGCTTTATCAGTTGAATGAAAAAACTAAACCCAATGATTTTTTCGATTAATTTGAAGTATAGTTTTATTTTATTGAGACTATTCAATGTTTTCGGTTAAACGATCGGTAGTCTTCTAAAACTAAGTGACAAACCTGAGCTAACCTATATACTTAAATCTCTAACATTGAGAGAATAGTATAGCTAATTATTCATAGGTTCAACAATTCTATTCATTAGTTTGTCTAAAATCTTATAAAAAAAACAAAATGAAACAATTAGTTATATCTCATTTGAAATCAGATACAATAAACGATTAGTTGATTTGTGAATGTATGTCGTGATACCTCTTCATCGGCATCGTTTTTGTTCCATGTCTGCTTCAATGCATATTTGTTTCCTAAAAACACTATTTCTATGCATATATAAGCCCGGAAAAAGATAGTTACAGTCCGTTTTTCGAAGATATTGCCACTATAAAAACATATATTTTTTTAATAATAATTACATATTCTGAAAGTCCGTGGACTTTTCTACCATCCTCTGTATTTATATTTTAGATTGTAACAATTAATCACTAAAAAAATTGGGTACAATGAAGGCAATCCTCATGTCCAGATTCCCACAGACTTGATTTTTTTATTGCCATCAAGATTAATTTTTTAAAATTTTTCATTATTATAGAATAGTCTTTTTAAAAAAGCAATTATAGATTCTGATACAGGTTGAAATTCTCTAGTAGTCAATGTATTTTTATCTTGCCTTGCATATACGCGATTGGCAATAATTCGAGTATCATCTAGACATGTTCTAGAAAGAGGTAGCTTTTTTTAATTATCTCTATCACCTTTTTCTTCAAAGATTCACGATGATAGAAAATTTCAAGCTCTATCAGAAAATGAAACTGCTTGTTAAAAAAGTTCTCCTTATACTAATAATAACATTGGAATAAAAGTGAAAGTTTTACGTAAATAAATTTCGTTTCTTTGAGTTTCTTGAGGAAATTATCGACGTAACACTAGAATTATTCTTCAGTGTATACTGCACATAAATATAAGACCAGATAAAAATACATAGGATGATAGAGAATTTCAAGCTCGGTCAGAATCTATAGTTACTTTTTTTTGAAACTTACCTTTATAATAACTATATATTGAAAACAGGAGAACAGTAACAATTTTTTGGTACTTGTCGATTCACGGTGTGTTCACTGTACTCAAATTCTTTTTTCAATAATAAATATAAGAAAATAGATAAATATACAGGGTGATAGAGAATTTCAACCTCTATCAGAATCTATAATTGCTTTTTTAAAAAGACTATTCTATAATAATGAAAAATTTAAAAAAAACTAATCTTGATGGTAATAAAAAAAATCAAGTCTGTGGGAATCTGGACATGAGGATTGCCTTCATTGTACCCAATTCTTTTAGTGATTAATCGGTACAAACTAAAATGTAAATACACAGGATGGTAGAAAAGTCCATGGACTTTCAGAATATGTAATTATTATTTAAAAAAATATGTTTTTATAGTGACAATATCTTCGAAAAACGGACTCTAACTATTGTATATATACAATGTGAAGTCAAATTGGCTTTATGTTTGATGAAAAACTTTCCATGGCATTATAATCTTCGTTACTTTCGAAGGTCTAAAACATCGACAAAACTAATAAATATTGAGGTGATAGGCGCATGATAAAGAAAAGTTATTAAAAAAAAACGACTTCTGATAGTTGCAGTTGTTTCGAGATGTTAGATATACGCGTTGATATTTGAGACTTCATGAAAAAAGCTAGAGCAACAATATTGGATGAATACTGCTTCAATGAAATGTTCACATTAAAACTGATATTTCCACTTTTAACTTTTAGTTTGCTTGGCTTAGCATAATTGAACTGATTGTGCTTGGTATTATCGTTTTATTTCTCATCTTTGGTTTTTTTTTTGGTATCGCAGCTTCAACTGACACAAACTCTGCTAATGATGGTTTAAACAAGGGTCTTATGATTGGTGCTGTAATAGTTATCTTCGTAGCTGCTCTTATTTGCATTGCTTGTTTTGTTCTAACAGTAAGCATATTACCTGATTCATTTCTGTCGATGCTATAGTTCTTTTACTTTGTAGGTAATTATGGTGAAACTTGCCTTCAAATTGGCAAAACTGATTGATGCCAAAAGATCTTTACCCACTCAACAAGTCTAACTTTTCCTTTACTCAATATTTTAATCATTTAAAATTTCATTCGGATTGTTTATAGTTTCTCATTTAATATTTCTTTATCACCTAAAAATCCAGAAATAAATATCAAAGATTTTTTTCTCATTTATAACTTGGTGAACACAACAATTATGTTTACATTGAAATAATGTCATATGATAACTTTCAGTCTCTTACACGTTCTGAGGTGTGGGTGTGGGTCACCTCTTCATCTACAGTCACAACCACAACCATCCTAATATATATAAACAATAAATCCAGCGAATCTATCCTACTTGATTGATACGAACTGTTCATAAAAATCGATGGCCAATGTCTATAGTTCACAAATGTGATCATATTTAATAGATTTATCCGTTTCACTTAGGACACTAGCATAAGGCTACCTTATGCTTTCCGTACAAACTATGCTATAATACTATTGAATAGCGTGAAACGATTATAAGGGTATGAGTGTGGACATGATGAGAAGACGTACACTCACAACCACATCCACCCTATCCCAACACCTAAACCCAAACCCACACCCATACCCGCGATTGAATTGAAAAAATTCTACAAATAGCAAATGAAGATAGACAACTGTCATTGAAATGTACCTCTAAACATATTGCTGACATAGAAATTCAATTGACTAAATTAACTGATGAACTGAGACATAGTCGTCAAGAAAATGACTTTATGGAAACCGATTTACATCGATGGAAAAACCAACTTATTCAACTAACTGATGAACTTAATAAACCATCAAATATTACGATCCGAGAAGATTCAAAATCACTCATAAAAAGAATTTATATTGATATATCAAATAGTAAGTGTCCTTGATATTCATCATTTTATCCAGAATAATAAAAACATCTATTAAAAGCTCATATTTTGAAATATATCTTTGTCAAAATAACATTTTATCGATGAAGTTTTAAAATTCCTTCATATTTAGATAAAACTATATCGAATGCAATAGAGAACTGAAATAAATTTCTTTCGTAAGAATGTTATTGCAGAAAAAAGTATTTCGAAATCCATCTTTTTTAAAAAGAACTCAATATATGAAACAACGGGATTGAAAAAAATATTACTTGCAAGGAAACAATTTTTATGAATTGCGTCATTGACAACAGTATATTCTGAGAATGTCACGTAGAATCTATCTTATAAAAATCCTATTTAATGATTATATTTGACTAAAATCTCAAATCTACTTGATTCATATAAACTAAGTAAATTTTTACACGAAATCTATTTCCATTGAAAGCTATACTTCAGCAACTTTTCATAGTGCATTGTAATCAAGAAAATGAACTCTCTATATTTTATTTTGACTAATCAAGTTAGTTATTATCTTGGTTAAAATGAGTTTTTTTCATCAAAAAATTATCAAACAAAGTTGCACTTTTTGTAAAATAAAAATAGATGAAACTTTTCCAGAACACTTAACTGAAAAAAGTTGAGAAAAACATAAATATATTACATATTATAATTAGAAATATCCAAATTTAATTATGAGTTGAGTAGAAAGAAAACTATCATAATTAGTTATTCGATTATGAAAAAATTGTCTATGGAACTTTGAAAAATGAAGCACTCTTGCTCTAGATAAAGACATATTTTTCTTACAATCATGACAGAATTGATCGCAATGAAAAAGCAAGACTTCCAACTTCATAAATTTTTCTCCTTTTGTAGTATCATCATGTATGATGGAAATTAATAGAAACACAAGATGATTACAAAATGGTATCATAGTCGCTGGAAGTAATGAATAAATTATGTACATTGCTGATAAACATAACCATTGCATAATAGAATGGAGGTATGGTGACACAAGTGACCAAGTCGTGACGAGTGGAAATAGAGAAGAAAGTTGAACTAATCAGTTAAGCATTCCAAAAGATGTGATTATTGACAAAGAGAAAGATTGTCTTATTATCTGCAATTAAGAAAATAAGCAAGTGATATGATGAACTCGTTACAATAGATAATGATGGATATTTTTATGCTGCTGACTCTAAGAAGCATGAATTAAGACGATTGAGAATAGAATATGCTTATGGAACAGTAGTAGCAAATAATTGTCTGGATAAGTTGAATGGCCTAACGCATGTATTTGTCGATCAAGATTATTCAGTGTACATACCAGAGTGGAACAATCATTGTGTGATGAAGTGAATAAAAGGAGCAATAGAAAGGATTGACGTTGCTGGTGGTCAAGGAAATGCTCTAGCTCAATCCTCTCGTCCTCGTGGAGTACTTGTTGATCAGTTTGATACTGTTTATGTGGCAGATTGTGACAACAATCGAGTAATGCGTTGGTCTAAAGACACTAAACAAGGTACTGTTCCTGTTAGTGGAAATAATCAGGACGAGCAATTAAACCAATTCTATTTTCCTCAAGATTTATCATTTGATCGACATAGCAATCTTTATATTGTTGATTATGCCAATGCTCGAATACAACGATTTAATATTGGTTCAAGTTCCAGTTAGTAGTGATATAGAGCAAATTTCAATGAACTGTTGTGACTGTTGTACATTGTGCTTTTGCTAACAAGTAGACTGAAAAAATTCTAAAAAGCTGGAAATTTTCTACCAAGTTTTCGACAATCATCGCTAAAACAAATATATTTGTTACATTTCTACGAGGATAATTGTTGTATAAAATTTTAGTAAGTTATATAAAAAATTATAAAAAGCGTTCGTAGACAAAGGCTCGGCTTTCTTCAATGGTATTAGAGCATTTTCATAGAAAAACAAGTATATAAACTGTTTATTCAACTAAAATCCATAAAACATTCGATACAAAAATGAAACTGGAATAAACTTGAAGATTTATTGATGCTTGCGTTTCTAAAACATTGTTCTCAAAGCAATTCATTCTATTCCAGATTTAAACAGTTTAGAAACTTTATAACAAAGCTAATCGATTTGACTCATCAAAATAAGGTAGAATTCAAATTATGAGTTTCGGTAGTATCTGTTGCAAGAAGAATAACACCCTCATATCACATTTACTCAATGAAGTGTTTATATGAAACAAGTGCTCTTTGACGGACGAATAGAGACTGAATTAAACGTATATAAATTCTAAAGAAGCAGAGAACACGTGTGTAAGTCTCAAAACTTTCTAAGAAAATAAATAACAAATATTGAATTATATCTAGTACCCATTTCACAAAAGAAAAAGTGTGAGTATTTTTTGGAATAAGTTTTGATAGAAACTAGCTAGAGAAATGCGGTTTTCACCGTTTAAAAGAGGAGATGAAACTGCATCGAATAGTCTATATCACATTTTTCTGACAAGTTCTCTTAGAGTCTCTCACCAATTATTTTCAGAAAAATCTAGGCTTTTGAATAAGTTTATAAGGTAGATTTTTTCGTTGAGAAATGAGAAAAAAGGTCAAGTTTCTATGAAAAATCTGCCAATAACATACAGTAAAATGAGCATAACTCATGATTGGCTAAAACTTATAACATAGGACTTACGGATTTTATAGATCTTCAGTTAACAATGCTAGTGCACTCTTGAAAATTAAGTTCGTAAAACTTTTTGCGTTAGACAATCTTTTATGTTTAACAAACTTGATGGTAGACTCTGAGAAAACTTGTTCAAGAAAAACTGGTAAAGATAGTTCGAGGCAGTTTCATCTTCTCTTTGAAACAATGAAAACCGCACCTCTCTACTTAGTTTCTATCAAAAGTTATTCAAAAAAATACTCACACTTTTTCTTTTTTCAAATGGGTATTAGTTATTTAAATGATGAAAATTTCAGTTTTTATTTTAATTCTCGTTTTATCATTGGTTATGGGTTTTCTCATTTTGAATATTGTGGAAATTATGTCTTCTTCAAAAAAGATACATAGAAAACAAGAAAATCTCAAGAGTTTATGGAAAGTGTACAAGATTTCCATAAGATCATGAAATGAATGACTTCTGATTACCGCAGTGTAATTAGAAAATTGTTACAGCATCAATTTTATGTCTAATAAGTAATATTAAACCAAATTAATTCAAATGAAAAATAGCAGCTAGGAACTGATTATATATATCTGCCAGTTGTACATTATATGAAGCAAACCAATTCAATGATTGATAAAAAAATTAAGAAAAAGAGGAAATTTTTTTTTTCTTCTTTTTATTTTTAATTTTTATGCTTGTATAATGTTTTTCATTGTTGTTTATTGTTTTACTGAACTTTTTAAAGTTCACTTCTGATTGTATTTAGTTTTTCTCACGAATATACATGTGATCTTATCAACAGATAGTATTAAATAGAGTCTTTTCAGTTCCTTGCAATTGAATCATGCCAACAATCTGCTTTCATCTAAGAGATTGTTTTAATAAAAACAAAAAAAAAAGAATACAGACTATTTCCTACAGGTTTTTTTACTTTGATAACCAAGCAAGTGAGCATACATCTGCGAAGAAAAAAAAAGATATATCAAGTCTTTTCAATTGTTAGATGATATCAGTATGATTTTTACAACATTTTCAAAGACTATAACAAGTTTCATTTCATAGATCTTCAATATTTCTGCATTTCTTGTTTGAGTTTATCGAAAGCTTGATTTAAAATTCATTCATAAGCCTACAGAGCTAAGTATTTTTGAAAGCGACGGGTACAAAATTACATCAATGTTTTTCTTTCGAAAACTCATAACAAGCACTAGTGGAAAGAGAATATAAGAAAAACAATAAATGATCACAACAAACAACAATACATTAGAAATATTTGCATTTTCTCTTTACTTTATGTTAGTAGAATATTGTTATTGGAAAGCAAGTGTATCAGTAAGTTAAAAATTTCAAAATTGTATCAATATATCGAGAACAAGATTAGATCCTACTTAAACATTTAATGACCAACAGTATGCACCATTCAAATATTGAAAATTCAAAGCTTGCTTGAGTTACCGAATGATAAGTGTATCTTATTTATTTGCCATGGAATGATTTTATTATTAATGGTACCATACGTAAAGAGAGAGTATTGACCACCAATACATTCACGTGTTATTCTAAATAGATAAAAATATTAGAGAAAATCATTAGATAGTACATAAAAATGGATCAATGAAAACTAAAACATATTATTTGTCTTCAATTATCAAATATACATATCTGATCAAGCATACAAAAGATCAAAGCTTCTCTTTCTATCATCGATCTTAATGATGAGTACGCGTGTCACCATGCTTCAGGCACAAACAGAACGTAAGTTTTTTCATGACATGTACTGACTGAATACTACTCATCCAACACTATTATTGCCGACACGCTTTTTTATTATAAACGTCTGAGTAAAATGAATTAAAATATCTAAATAGATATGATTTGTTCTTTTGAAGTTTGTCGTCAATAATATACATTAAAAATCACCAATCGATCACGTAATGAATCAATGAATAGGAAAATTGATGATAGGCAGTCACTATTGAATTTTATTTCAGTTCAATCCATAAGTTATGTTCTGATCAAAATGAAACAAACAACAC